TCTATAACCTTGACCTTTCTGCCAACTTTTTGAACATTTTTTGGCATTGGGTTGGGTGAGATTCGAACCCACAATCCTAGTATTTGAGCGGCAAAGACCCATGCCGTAGACCACGCGGTCAACGACATCGAGAAATACAATTTATAATTTAATTTTTTAAAATTGAGATAAAAATATTTTCAGATTAAACGATGCGATGCCATAATCGATATGTTCACAGCAGGTTCCTTCAGTTCTCTTTAAGCAAGCGGCATATATGAGACACGTGATATAAATTAATGATATTGGAAATGCATGCTGTTACAATTTATACGTGCACTACTAAACTAACTAATTATGCACACACGTACGTACATTAAGGTTTGTCTGTTTACATACACTAGTCTTACACTAGAAGGACTCTGCAATTAGCAAATGACCCCCATATAAAACACTCAAAGACAAAACTCAGTAACCCATTCACAAGTTAAGGCTTGCCTTTCTAAATGTTCATTTCATAATACAATACGTGGTGAACAGTGGGAGATGTTACGACGAAACCTTCAGAAGACTTTTATGGATAAATTTGGCCACTCTCGCTTTGAATAATCAAATCCAGTATACGTAAATCGGAAGTTGAGTTGCCAACAGTAGAAATTAAATTTAAAACTCTGGGAATGTAAACAGTGGGCATCTCATCTGGGATAGTGTAACATAGACGAGTTTATAGTAACGAAATTAACTACTTCAATTCGGCTATACTGTATAACGGTTCCTGGATTATATATTTTACTTAAGATGGGTAATGTAATGTGCTATGACTGGTTTCGAACAGGAAAGTGAAAGTACACAAAACAAGTCAAGTATAATAGAGACATTAATTAAATGCAAAATATTTAACAGCTTCATCTGCAGGACAGATACCTGACTTTTGACTGCAACCAATTTGAGAATAATTATCATTGCCTTTTTCCAAGCAAGTGTATTAAGTGTAATGAAGCAGAGGCATTTTCTCACATTTTCTCCTGAAAGGTTATAATTCGGAAACGATTTACGTTTAATGAACATTTGCACGTACCTTTGGAAATGCAACACTAATCACCACCGTCCGATTACCCAGCCAAATACCGGAATTTAGTTGTAATAAAATATTGTTTTATTATGGCGATCACTCCATAAGAAGGTCATGAAGATTTCGTCATAACTTAAACTTCTTGTGTGGGCCTTGGACCTGACGTACTTGTGTCATTGATATCCTCTTCTGGAGACGGTGGGAGTACCATCATGTCGTGAAACTCTCCAGTGTGCCTCATGGGGTTCGGAATGACGTCACTAGACGCAGTATTAGAGCTGGTGCTGGTGGTAGTCATCTGAACAGCGTCCTCCCTCTTCAGACTTCGTCTCATCCGATATCCGCGATAGCTGGACTGTATCTTGGTTGCTGCGTCATCCAGCTCCTCTTGCTGTAAAGTCTGCCACACGTTTCGGTCCTCGTCTTCGTTCACCGGTCCGTCCAGATGCAGAGAGATAGCTGACTTAGTTACCGCAGTTCTCTGAGCCTTCTCCTTCATGTGACTGTCTAAAGATAACCCATTCTCAATCTTAACATTTTTAGTCGTCGTTGTATTTTCCTGAGACTGAGAAATCTCTTCGTCCATGGAAAACGGATGCTGTTTCTGTACTTCTGTCTCCATTGAACCGGAAACATGGACACCTTCATCTTCCATTTCCTGAGATGTAATCGTATCTCTAAGAGATTGCTGGCTGTCGCCAATGGATGGCGCTGTTGTAGAATTGCTGGCTATCATATTATGAACGTGACGCCTTGCCAGAAAACCTCGTACCCCAGCCTGAATCTTTGTCGCCGCGGTGGACATCGACGAGTCTGCACCTGTTAAATCGTCAGAGGCGTCTTTTGGTGGCGCACGAAATTCATCACATTCTTGTGGTTTCTGCAACTCCATTAGCTCGTTGTCAGCTTCTTGTTGTCTTTCCTCCGTCTCTTGGTCTCTGGGAGTGCCGTCGACTGTTGAGTCCTCAACTGCAAGCGACGGCTGTACCTCAGGACCGAACAGGAAGTCATGGGACATCACTGACTGTGGAACCTGTCCCACAAGATAAAAAAAATACATCTTTAAATTATTATTATTATTATTAATGTTTTCTACTGCTTTACTTGTGCATTACAATTACTGCCTTGTGTATGAGAAACTTATAATTCGAGATTTAAAATTATTTCTAAACTTTAAGACATAATTTGTTCGACGTTTATGTGTTTGAATTCTGAAAAGATGAGAACTTCAGGACTGGCCAAGATCTATTTTAAGGAATAAATTGAAGCTCCTCATAAGATGCAAACACAAATGAAGTTTGGCTATTAACTTCTAAGTCACAAAAAATTGCCCTCCGCGATGAGCGAGGGTTGGAATAAATGTCATTCACATGCCTCCAGTTTATAAATGTTTACCGTAGAGACATTACGATACCATGATACACATATATATCTTGTTGAAATGTCCGAATTTTGTATATTACCACAGTACAGTAATGTGTTAACAATAGGCCTCAATGTCAGTAGGTTATCACAGAAAGCGATATTCAGGCTGCACGAAGACAGCCGCTAATTCTGAACGAGAAGCAAGCAAATATATGATGAAATATGTACATACACATCGATAGTTATACAGTCCATTCAGAGTGATTGAAAAGTCATGCAACCTGCTCGCGCCAGTGTGTCAGTTGTCTTTCAACAGTCGAAGTTCAAGGATGTCTTTTCCACAAGTACAAGGAGTTTTAATTGTTGAACACTACGTGGCATATCGTTCGTTCTTAACTTACGAGAATATGTGTAAAGGATACATTTTCCGATTCTCTTGTACCAAGAAATCGAAAATATCTCGCCAGCCACAGAATCTCTTCATCGGCTGTGTAGAACATGAGGAACAGAATGAACGTGGTGGATATTTAAGACATTTAAAACTTTGTTTCTTGTTTTCTCATCTCAGTGTAATTTATTTCTTGGCAAAAACAAAATGTGTTAGGAATGGGTTGCATGACTTTTTATCACTCTTTTACATGAGACGACGTTTAGAGTAAACAGACCAGCAAAGGAGTTACTTCTGACCCGTGGACAACGGCTGATAAATACTAAATGGAGGAACTAAAATCAGCGGTCGCTGTACCAACTTTCTCGTTTCAGTAAAACACGATTACAAGGTCCTGTATTAACGAGGATTAATTTGCGTTCTTAAATATTTGTTTAAATTAGTTGAAAGGTAATTTAAATAACTGGTTCTTCCTTCACACACCAGTTACTAATTTCACTCAGTAACGGTGATTACAAAACTAAATATTCTTTAGTTGTGAGAACATAACAATAATAATAAAATGATTTTGCAAATAAGGCAACTGGATATTGATCAATAAGACACATAATTACCACTGCCTTTCAAATGGCTTATTCCAAACTAAAAACAGTAGTACGTCGTGGAATACACTGTTTACCTCGTCTTTTTCCGCAGCTTTACTCAAAGCCTGTCTCGTCTGATAACCTCTAAAAGATGCTTGAATCATTGTAGCAGCTGTATTCTGCGCCTGCGTCTCATCCACAACTGTCATTTTATCATCTGCACCTTCGGTTACTGCCCTCTTTTCGTCCTCTCCAGGCTTATTCTCCGATACAGATGGACCAGCTTCACCGTCACTCCCAGGATCGTCAACAGTCTCAGTCACTGTCAATGAAGGAATATCATCGGTATGGGTTGACGTAGGCGATTCAACCCCTTCGGTTGTTCCTCCTACGCCACTGGACAACAGTCCTTGTTCACTGGCTTCCTTGGTGGTCTCTGATTCCGCACCAATGGACAGCAAAGCACTTGGAGGTCCGCTATCATTGCCTACCTCGGCTGTGGATCTCCCGTCTTCTGTTCGTTCCTGGGTGTCGGCTGAAGGAGCCGCACTCGACGGACTTCTCGTCGTCTTTCCGATCTCATGTTCCGCGATTTGGACATCTATCGGTTCTGGAGCTACTTCTTCGCTTTCGTCTTCCACGCCAGGCACTGATTGCTCTTCAGTTGAAGATCGTTTAACGTCTGCAGAGCTGACTGTTTGGCTTCCTTCTTTTATCGATTCTGTGGCACTCAGAGGCTTGTTTCTAGTTGATTCTGCAGAATTCTCTACATTTTCTGTAACAGAATTTTCTTCTATGATTGAACCAGAAGCACTAACAGATCGACTTTGTGATGTTTGTGTAGGACCTGTGTCATCTGCTGCAACGTTTTGTGCCCTGCTCCGTTCGTCTTTGGTTGAATCAGACAAGCTTACTGGTCTGCTTAATTCACTGATTGATTCTGCAGTATTTCCTTGATTAGTTTCTTCTTCGTTTCCAGAATCTGCAGCAACCATTTGCATACCAGCTTCCTCTTTGGCTAAATCTACTTCGCCGTTAGTGGAAACTTGCTCAGTCGCTTCGTCTTTGATCGATTCTGCATCAGTCGCTTGTGTAGTACCTTCATCCCTCACCAAAACTGCATCATCATTTGGCCTGCTTGCTTCTTCTTTGGCTAGTTCTGCTGTATGTATTAGTCCGCCTTCTTCCCCTTGTGTCAGACCGGTAGCACTATGGAGATTGCTTTCTTCTTCATCTTCTTTGGTTGCTTCAGTTTCCGATCTGTTTTCATCCTCCTTGGTACTTTCAACATCACCAATTGCCCCAATTCCTTCTTTCGCATATTCTTTGGCGCTGCCTGGTCTGCTGTCTTCTTTGGCTGAAACTCGACTCTCTCCACGTTCAACAGAAAATTCTTCTTTTACTATAGGACTTGTTGGTCTATACATCGTTTCTACTTCTGAAGTGACAGCACTAACAGGACGATTTCCTTCCCCATTTCCGAGGCATTCAGCGTTAAGTAGTTGGTTTTCTGATCTCTCTTCAGTAATGTCTGCGTTTCCTTCAGTAGAACCCGCTGATTCAATTCCATCCTCTTTCACTGATTCTGAAGCAGTTGCTGGCCTAATTTCGGCTTCCTCTGTTAGTGCTTTAACACAAACTGCATTACTCATCTCTCCTTGAGCTGAGTCAAAAACCGGCTGACATTCTGATGGCGTTTTTGAAACTTCATTATCTACAACAGAAGTTTGCCTGCTTCCTTCATATTTTGCGGAGTTTATAGGATTTTCTGGTCCATTTTCCTCTTTATCTGTTGCAATAGTACTAGTTGGATGTCTGAAAACAGCACTAACTATTCCATTTCCTGTTTGTTCTGATAATTCAACGTCGTCTGTTGAAGAATAAATTGGCCCACCTTCCATAGCAGGTTCTATTATACTTATTGGCTGACTTCTGTCTTCTTTGGTTGGTTCTGAAATGGTATTAACCGTTCCGTTTCTTGTAGGTTCTTCTGATAATTTAGTGTTGTCTGTTGTAGAGTGAACTGGCCAACTTTCCTTTTCCTCATTCGGTTCTATTATACTTCCTGATTGACTTACATCCTCTTTGGTAGATTCCGAAACAACAACAGGCAGACATGTTTCAGTTTCTTTAGGGTTTTGTACTGTGTTAATTTCTAAATTCTCGGACCGGCTTCCAACAGCTACTGATTCATTTGCGACCAGTGGCGAAATTGCTGTAGGTTCTTCTGGTACATCAGGGTTTTCTTCTTCTTCTTCTTCTTTAGAGGGTTGTGCAGCATTCACTGATCGCGTTTCGCTTTCTTTGCCAGATTCTATAACACTAACAGGCCGACTATCTGCAGTTTCTACGTAATCAACTCCTGAAATTTTGGACTCACGTTCACCATCTTCTACTTCATCAGCATTAATTGGCGGACTTTCTCCAGGTTCTATCGCCAGTTCTTCGTTTTCTGATGCAACATTTTCTTCTTGTGTAACTGATTTTACAGCGCTTGCTGGCCGACTGTCTGCCGGTTCTTCAGACACTTCGATGTTATCCACTGCCGAACTTGCAGGCCTACTTCTTTCCTGCGTTGTTAATTCTAAGACACTAACTGGTCGGCTACTTTCTTCTTTCATCGAAACAGCAATACTAACTGGACGAATTTCATTTACCTCCTCTGAAACGTCGAAATTATCCACTGCAGATTCTGCTGATCCACTTTTTTGCCCTTCGTTGGATTCGGCAACACTTTGTGGTGTACTTACGTCCTCTTTGACAGAACCTGTAGCACTTACAGGCTGTTCACTACCCTGGACACCACTGGTTGGTCTGTCTGCGCCTTCGGCAGTGGTGACTTGGTTGCCAACTTCTGCAGCTTCACTGATTTCAACGGTGTTGTTTTCAGAAATTTCTCTATTCTCTTTTGAAAATTCTGCAGAATTTATTTGTCTGCTTGCTTCCTTGTTCGATTCTGTGGCACTAACGGGACGACTACGTTCCTCCGTACCACTCTGAGGCCTGCTTCTTGTAGGTGGTGTCCCACTAGGTAACATACTAGTTTCCTCGTGTTGCTGTTGTTCAGGTACTGACTCTTCTTTGGTTGGTGAGGCACTAGGTGGAATGGTCCCCTCAGCAACGGCACTTGTTGGTCTTGAGCCGCCGAAGTCCTCATTGACAACAATTTGTGAGGCACTTGTTGCTCTGCGACCCTGTTCTGGGATTTCTTCCGATATGGCAGTGGATAGTTTGTTATCAGGCACTGATTCGCTCGGAGGTTCCTCGCTGAATATAGTTGCTTCTTCTGTTAGAGGTGTTGAGGAAGATGCACTCTCTTTGCGTTCCGCTGCAGAATCATTTTCTCCACTGACAGCCTGTACAAAGACCACTTCGTCTTCCGACTTAACTAACTTCGGCGACTTAGCATCGCGGTCTTCAGTAACTTCTACATTGTCTGCGTTGCTGTTCGCAGGTATTTTCAGAGTGGAAACATTCGTACTGCCGCTTTCTGCAATGACCTTGGTTTCTTCGGCTGGCTTTTTGTTCTCTTCGTCGTTAGTGGTCACAGCGGCCACTGTGGCAGCAACGCTTATGACAGCGAGTGCTCCAGTGGCAGCGGCGATCAATTTGCCAGAATCGTCATCGTCGGCTTTTACTGTACCGTTCAGCTCTGATGCGGATTCGTTCGGTTTTTCGGTCAAAGTAAGTTCATCTTCGTTATGTATGTCGATAACTTCCAGTGGTTCTTTCTCCGGCTGCTCAACCAAGTCTGCAACGTCGGCTGTGGTGTCCTGAGGTATAGCTGCTTTGTCTGAACTACGCGTAGATGATGGCGATAAACCCGCAGTATGAGCTGAAACGAGAAAATAAATCAGTTAATGTATGCCTATCTTAAGGATGACAGCAAATGAGAGGACCGAAGTAATCGAAAGCTGTGGATAACTGTCATTCGGGAATAAAATTTACACTGTACAGGATAGTAGCTTGTTTTTACTACCACAAAAAATACACAAAAGCATGCCCTAAAAATTGCAAACATGTTGATTTCGGTGAAATGTACCGCAGAGGTCACTGCCAGTAATAAAGTTTTAGCAAACAGAATAATTGTATACAGACATGAAATGACATAACATGTTGGAAAATCGTGATGTATAAAATCCATTGCGTTTCCAATATGCATTTATTAAAGCTGTAAACGATATGTTTGTAAATTTGAAGAATACAAATTGATTCCACTTTAAAATGAAATAAGTAAGGTGGTAACGAGTTTTGACGTGCATAAGTTTATAAAGAATTCAATGTTAATCTTGATATGTTTACGTATCACAACCAATGACGCGGTTTTCTATGTTTTAATAATTGATAAAATCAAAGTGACAATGTGCCTAATATTGCATACTACAAATACTTTTCCAAATAGTTTTATAATATAAACCATTAACACAAATGTGAATTAACAGATAAGCATTATTTTTGGGCACGCTAACCCATTTTTAATTAATGCTACTAAATAATCTAAAAACAACGAAAATAAAAGCACTGACTTGTGGGATGTTACGCCGTATATGCTGGTAGAAGTTTACCGACGTGGGCTACATCCATCATCATGACGATGATAGGAGCAGTAAGCGTCAATAAACTTCTACCAGACTACACGACACAACATCCCAGGGGACAGCGATCTTCGTACTCGGCGCCGTAAGAACCTGAAATATCATCCAGTAAACATGCATTTTGCCATTTGAGGAATTAAATTTTTCTTAAAGTGATCAAAATGAATGACGGCACCCGAGATTTGGACGCTTTTGTGCATGTAATGTCATACATGGCTTTATAAGCCAATGAACTTACGATAGTTAGCGTATAACGTATTCTGTTACTTGAGCGTAAAACAGACGCCACTTGCATATATATCTCTTTCTCTATCTTTTTCTGCGTCACCCACCTTCGTACGTGTAGATCACTTCAGTTTTGTCAGAAATTAATTTTCATGCACTAGTGTTACATCAAATATATCCTAGTTAAGTGTAAGTTACTGATTTGTGTCGCAATAACCACAGTAAATCTTCGACACAATTTCAAAGTAAATTTATGCATTTATCAACGCGTGTACAAAACAGTGCCATGTATGTTAAACGACCAAAGTCCTTTGCCACATTCAGCTAATAGAAATATTAATTTAATAACGAATGTCGGTATTTTCTTCCCGCTTGTCAGCTTGTTGCGTATATGCATGTACATTATTACCGCATACATATTCACGCATTATAAAAAAATCAGAAGCGGTTCGGAAATTTAATATAACATCAATCCAATGCTAATAACAAGCAAAAATGTAAATACCTGTATTTGAAACACAGTGTGTATACGTAAGCTGACAGAAAAATAAGTAAACATCATTCATGGTTCTCAGAGGTGTGATGAAACGCCGAACGAGCTGGCAACCTAAATGACACAGGTGGGTTGAGGATTGCTAAGCGGCCAGGCGCTCGCATATTTGTTCATATAATTCGTGTCGCTTCTGTTAATCGTTTTCGCGAACATTATGTTTGTCTTGAAAAATGTACATTTATTTATACTTGCCAGTGACAGTGATGTAACATTGCAAAATACACGGCTACCAAAGGAGAGATATTTCAACAGATAGTAAGCACTGTGTACTTCTAATGTAGCTGAAGAAGCAGACTTCGTGGAAATGCGTAAATTAATAGAATAATGTTTAAAAATTGTGTGTATCTTATCTCCCTCCATGCAGTGCAGTTTAAACTTTAAATATGCGTTTAGGTATACCAGCAACGTATTTTTCGATTTAATTTGATGGACAGGGTGAATACGATTTTGGTGGGTTTTTTCTTTAAAATACTTGTATGTAATATACCCAGCTAGTGTATGATAAGTACGAACTATAACGCTAGTCTTCTGTGAACTCTTTGTATGGAGTCCATAAAACGTACGCGTAACTCTGAGGTCTCTAAGGCTGTTGAATGGATTTCCATGAAATCTGATATGGGGAACACATAGTAAACAAACGAATTTAATTTTGATTCATGTCGATTTTATATGAAAATTAAATAAAACGTTCGTCGAAAACAAAAAAATTATCCCACAAAATAGCGCATGATATAATATAGAGTTCATTAACATCTACAACTTTTATTTGAATTAATTTGTATTTATAAAATATTTAATTAAACACAAAGAAAATAATTTATGACTTTGCAATGTGAAATATGCAGTGCTGTTAGCGTTGTAACAACAGATTCACACCTGCTAAGCCAACGTGAAGGCCGTGAGGTATGCAGAACGCTAATAACGAATTTGGAAAAAAATATTTACCATACTTCACTGAGTCACGCCTTTTTACTCATTTAATATTCTCTGTTTCTGCTTAGTAGGCATGATCAGGCTAGAATGTATATTAATATTCGGTCACATTGTCACATCTTGGCGGATTTTAAACATACCTACGTCTGCGTCTTGTCTTGTCTTGTCTTGTCTTGTCATCGTTTCATCGGAAAAACCTATGGACTAAGAGAAGACAGGAGATCCTTTTCTCGCAGGCGTAAAGTTCACACTGCAGTTTATTTTGGGAATAACTGCTGTCTGATTTCCTTGAGCAAGGGTGTATTTTGCAGCCCAAGGTAGCGTCACAGTCCACGTCTTGACTGTTGCCTTGAAACATCCATGGTTTGCTTAGTGTTTATGTACGGGAATGTATTGGAATGTTGAAAGCTTTAATTTTAAACGAATATTCTGACAAAATCTATTTCTAGCGTCTTTCTGGATGCAGTCAACTTGTTCTGGGCGATAAAACAATGTTAACACAAAATCATAATGTTTTAAAAAACGTCGTAACAAAATACACAATCTCGGTATAACTGAACAGTACAGACAGACAGATTTCTAATTTTATTGCTGTCTACCGGGTAGAATTCTTTACTCATTTCTTCCACTTCTCATAGCTACTAACACTGTTGAAGTTCTGAGTTTCTGACTGTCTAATTGCTAACTATCCGGTCACATGGTGTGACGAAGCTTTCATTACCGTATCAACCGAATTTCCTCACTTCACATCGATAACGTGGATACTTTCGAAATGTTTCTAAATATTCCTGTATAGGTTAGACTTAAGAAAATGCCCTGCAATAGTTTCTTACAAATATTTAGATCACAGGACCAAATACTACAAAAATGTGGATGCCACTGGAATACTCTCACTATTTAATCTCTAATTTCACTCAGGCTGTGAGATTAGAAGTCATAAGATACTGTGCTGATCATAAAATAGAAAACAATGTTGCGATTCGACCAGTTTATTTTCCAATGAACGACATTCTGACACTGTAACTCTTCACTCGATCGTACTGGATGCTACAATTCAGTTTAAAATATTTTATGTTGTCGTCTCTTATCTATAAAACTGAATATTATAACTATACGAAACTATAATTTTACCTGTTGTTTTGTATGGATCTAAAGCTGTCTCTTACTCTAATATAAGAACATAAATTGTTGTTTGTACCTAACAAAGATGGAGTAACGGAAGCTGGAGAAAATTTCTTAAAGAAATTGTCGACAATGTGTACTCTTTTCCGAATATTAATAGACTAAGATTGTCGGACAATGTAATACACATGAGAAAGTTAAGAAATGCATAACCAATTTTGATCGAGAAACCTGAAGAGACAGCCCGCTTTGGAAACCTATGTACATATGTTCAGTCAGCTGACGACAAGGCTGGGTTCCCGGTTCAATCAGAATTGGGCATCATTACAAGTATATTTATTCTCGCAGTTAAAGTAACTACGGACTTTATTGAAAGGTTGATTATAAGGGTTATTAAACTCAGATCATATGTTCGGCTTATCTACGCTCATACTCGAAAATATAGGTATACTTTTCCTCGATAGTATAGCGGTTATAATCACCATTTACTTAAATTATATTCATTTATTTCCAATTTTACACACGATTCAAAGTTTATTTTTTTTATAATAACCGTCATGATATTGCATGCGTCAGGGCAATACATTGTATCATTATTCAACACAAATATATCCAATCAACTCAACTTAGACGGGTTATACAGTACTAGTATATGTATATACAACTGGCCAGAAACCAAACAGGAGTTAGTCCGTATAAAGCTGAGAAGTTAAGTATAGACTCACCACTGCGGTTATACAAATCTCAGCTTATTTACGTCATGGAAATAGCTGTGGATGTAACGGCACAGCGGGGCGTATTTTTAAGACGTCGGCTCGTAACGCTGGCATAAATTCATGTGTCAAACCAGAAACTCATCTGGCCAATTGCGATATTATGCTGCCCTGAATTTTGAGACAGGAATGTTGTCTGACTTCGTAATGTAATTGACAAGATGTCTTTGATATTTATATTCTAATAAAACAAGGTATTTCCGGCCTAAATACACCATATCCTTAATATTTCACCACTCACAGATGATGTCACTGGCCGCAAGGAAGGACACATGTCAGTGTTCTCATTTAAAACATAAAGACCAATTTGCAATGCATTGAATAAAGAAACGCGTGACATAGAGCGTTACATTCTTATGAATAATGGTGGGACTGGCTGTTGAAATGATCTGTAGGGACGCCGGATGTCCCATGCCTGTCGGATCTGTTGCATTGTTTTATGTGGTGCATGATATATGACGATCCATTAGAAGAAATTCTTTTCCTTAGATTTTCGCAATAGAAGTTAAATGTGTAATTTCGGCCTTCGGGGGTGAGCCGCGTCGAATGATGAGAATGTTCCGGCAAACATTTCAGTTGCCATCTTCAGGGTGAATGGCCGATTTTGAAAGAATTATATAGAATAGGCAGTAGG